GGCAGACAACAGCAATGAAACATTCCCCTGCAGACAGGCTGGCAGACAACAGCAATGAAACATTCCGTAGCAGACAGGCTGGCAGACAACAGCAAACAAACATTCCGCAGCAGATAGGCTGGAAGTATAGATTCTCTCTGTAGCAACATGTGACTCATGGACTATGAGATGATCAATTCAGACCAGGCAACTGTTTTCCAGTGAGACTCTGATGGCAGTGAAGCACTTCAAGAAACTGAGTGAAGGTAAACCCCTCTATGACTTCGTGCTCAGTGATTAACACCTGGTGACTCAAAGAGCCACTATACGGATGAGAATTCCACCATGTAAAAATCCCAGAAACTCTCTTTAACCATCTGTAGTTAAACTGCGGTGAAGCAACGTATGTTGTGTGTGTGTGTATGTGTGTGTGTGTGTGTGTGGGGTGCTGTAAGTGTGTGTTTTAAGTTTTCCCCTCCAGGATTTCAGTCTGTAGGATTGACATCTCAAGAACGAGAATTAAACAGGTACAAATCTCAAAAACCCCGCTCAAGCGAACAGCCATATCACAGTTATACTGGGGCATAAAGTAGCCTATAGTCAGTATGGGTGGGTGTGAGATGCTGTAAGTAAAGAACTCACCTAATTAAGCCCCGTTGTGGGTTCTAGCCCCCCTCCCCCCACCACCATGCTAATTCCCATGTATCACATTATCCACCCCATGTTATCAATCTTGCTGTCCCTTCATTTAAATGCATAAAATACATGAACTAACCAAATTTTCCAGATTATCCTTTTTCTCTTTCATCTCAATGAATGTCTGCTGAAGGTCAGCCAGTTTCTTCTCTACTGCTGCTAGCTCCGCACGCTTTTTGTTCAGCGTTGCCATCATAAGGGAAAGGTCAGCCTCGGCTTGCTGGAGCTTGATTTTCTTGGGAGCCACAACCTTTGCCACACGGTCGTATATCTCCATGGCTAGGATCCACTTGCACAAGCCTACAGGCATTTTAAACACAATATTAAAGTTTGACCAGAATTACTTTATTGTCATTGACAACAGAATTTATTAAATATAGTTTGACAATAGAGAAATAAAAATGCTTCAAATTCACAAATATTTAAGA